GCTACACAAGTTTACTCATTCCTATGACACAATACTTATATCCCCGCTATACAAGTTTACTCATTCCTATGACACAATACTTATATCCCTGCTACACAAGTTTACTCATTCCTATGACCCAATACTTATATCCCCGCTACACAAGTTTACTCATTCCTATGACCCAATACTTATATTCCGCCACACAAGTTAACTCATTCCTATGACCCAATACTTATATCCCGCTACACAAGTTTACTCATTCCTATGACCCAATACTTATATTCCGCTACACAAGTTAACTCATTCCTATGACCCAATACTTATATCCCGCTACACAAGTTTACTCATTCCTATGACCCAATACTTATATCCCGCTATACAAGTTTACTCATTCCTATGACCCAATACTTATATGCCCGCTACACAAGTTTACTCATTCCTATGACCCAATACTTATATTCCGCCACACAAGTTAACTCATTCCTATGACCCAATACTTATATCCCGCTATACAAGTTTACTCATTCCTATGACCCAATACTTATATGCCCGCTACACAAGTTTACTCATTCCTATGCCCCAATACTTATATCCCCGCTACACAAGTGTACTCATTCCTATGACACAATACTTATATCCCCGCTACACAAGTTTTCTCATTCCTATGACCCAATACTTATATCCCCACTACACAAGTTTACTCATTCCTATAACCCAATACTTATATCCCCGCTACACAAGTGTACTCATTCCTATGACACAATACTTATATCCCCGCTACACAGGTTTACTCATTCCTATGACACAATACTTATATCCCCGCTACACAAGTTTTCTCATTCCTATGACCCAATACTTATATCCCCACTACACAAGTTTACTCATTCCTATGACCCAATACTTATATCCCCGCTACACAAGTTTTCTCATTCCTATGACCCAATACTTATATCCCGCTATACAAGTTTACTCATTCCTATGACCCAATACTTATATTCCGCTACACAAGTTAACTCATTCCTATGACCCAATACTTATATCCCCTCATTCCTATGACCCAATACTTATATCCCCTCATTCCTATGACCCAATACTTATATCCCGGCTACACAAGTTTACTCATTCCTATGACCCAATACTTATATGCCCGCTACACAAGTTTACTCATTCCTATGCCCCAATACTTATATCCCCGCTACACAAGTGTACTCATTCCTATGACACAATACTTATATCCCCGCTACACAAGTTTTCTCATTCCTATGACCCAATACTTATATCCCCGCTTCACAAGTTTACTCATTCCTATGACACAATGCTTATATCCCCGCTACACAAGTTTACTCACTCCTATGACCCAATACTTATATCCCCGCTACACAAGTGTACTCATTCCTATGACACAATACTTATATCCCCGCTACACAAGTTTTCTCATTCCTATGACCCAATACTTATATCCCCTCATTCCTATGACCCAATACTTATATCCCCGCTACACAAGTGTACTCATTCCTATGACACAATACTTATATCCCCGCTATACAAGTTTACTCATTCCTATGACCCAATACTTATATCCCCGCTACACAAGATCGAGGTATTATGGTTTTGTCTGTCAAACTCCTTGTAAACACTCTAGCGGACAGATTTCTTGACAGATTTCCGCTAAAAATATAATTTCACTTTCACATGTCTTCTGCACTCTAGCAGCTCTCTTTTCCTTGACAGAGTTTGGAACTTCAGTTTGTTTTAGACATTAACCTTGAACAAGTCTGAACTTGGATACGATTAGTTAAAGGTCAGTCACTTACAGTAAATCTGGATATTGTTACGTTAATTGATTAATTTTGCGAATTTCTCAAAATTAGCTGTATTTTTTTTGAAAGGCCCTTCGACACAAGAAGACGAACAAAATGTCACGTTAAACAATTAATGAAATATGTCAAAAACTGATACAACATCTGTTGAAGAAATGAAAGTGCTTTTATATTGATTTTTGGCTGTTGGCTTCCAGAGATGGTGCCCAACAATGTTTGTGAACAAAAATGACATTGAGCTACTATCATGGTCACATGGATCAAATATGTGAAATACTTTTAAACGACTACTGATGAAGCATTGATAGGCCTTGAATCATGTTATATGGGATGGAGCCCAACAAAGTTTGTGAATGAATCTATATACATTTATAATGTACTTTCAAATATTTTAATATATCAAAACTGCAAACAACTGTGTTAGTAGCAGGCAGAAAGGAAGGGTTGTCAACTTAAAGTGATCATGAATGACTTCGACCCACTTTTAAGGTCAAAGGGGTCAAATGTGTTAATATCTTTAAATGACCTCTTGTGAATAAGCCAACGACACAGGGACAGGGTGATGATATTTGGCCAGTAGCATGATAGAATAAATGGCTATCAACTTGTTTTTCAAATGAATGGCCTATCCAGGTATCAAAGGTACTTTGGTCAAATGTGCTGAAAGTTTTAAATGATATCTTCTGAATAACCATGAGGCCTAGGGTGATGATATTTGACCAGTAGCATGCTAGGATAAATGGCTACAATGTTATTTTTAATGGAATGACATTGACCCACTTTCTAGGTCACAGGGGTCAAATGTATGAAATCTTTAAATGACTTCTCAATAATCAAAAGTCAGTGATGATATTTTGGATTAAGGCCTACAAAAATGTTAAACTGAATTACCTTGTTAGAATTTCGAGGTCACTGGGGTGAAATGTGTTAAAATCTTGTAACAGATTGTTTTGAAGAACTTTAAGTAATAGGAAGATATTAAGCATGTAGCTTTATTAAGGCTATTGAAGTATATTTGACCTTGGTCCACTTTTGAGCTTAAAATGCAAGGTTAAAATCAAGTTAGCAATACAGACCCATTGGGCCTTTTTTGGTTGACATTTGACCTCTGTAATCTTGAAAATATGGAAGGTCATTTTTGGTTGCAAAATTAGTCAAACTCTATCTCAGGAACCTACAAGCCAAATATCATGATTCTAGGCCCTTTTGTTCTTTAGATGTAATAGTTTGAAGTTTTCGACACATATTTTTTGTATTTGACCTCTGATCTGTGACCCTGAAAGTAAGTGAAGATCAGTTTTTTTTATGTTAGCAAACGTTTTGGGGCTCCAAGAAAGGAAGCAACCTCTGTGACCTTAAAATTTTGTCACGGTCATTTTTTGTTTTTGCAAACTTTGTTGGGCTCCATCCAGAGAAGCTACCAGCAAATATCATGACTCCCAAACATCTTGGTTCTTAAGAAGTTGTTTAAAAGTTGATGATAGACGCTGCGCCACAGCATAAACAGATAAACGGATAAACAACATGGCCGACGGCAGCCATCTTGGATTTTGATATTGAAAGTTTGTTATCGCTATTTCTCGGAAAGTGTTAGAGGGATCTTTCTCAAATTGTATATGTAGGTTCCCCTTGGTCCTGAGCTGTGCAGGGCAACTTTTGAGACTGATCGGATAAACAACATGGCCGACAGGCAGCCATCTTGGATTTTGATA